TTATTTGGATTTCTTACTGCTTTTGACGATAAAATCTCTGTCTTATTAGCATTTATTTTAAGTCTATTAATGTTGCAGTAGTCAACAAAACAATTTAAGATATTCTGGAGTGATAACTTTGAGGTTGCTAGTACAACCTATCATCTGCAAATTGCAGAACATTAACTTGACAGGTACCAATGTCTATAGCTCCTGAGCCAACCATAATAAATTTGGGTAGATCACTTACGAAGAATAAAAACAGTAGTGGTGATAAGCAGGAACCCTCTTTTAATCCATGATTTGCTTTAAAGACTGAGGCTTTCATGTTGATCAAATTGTTGCTGATATGAGTTGATGTTGCGCTGAGCGTTGTTCTTCAATCCACTGCTTATTTTCTATGAGCATAGCACATGTTTCTCCTGTCATCTAACTGAAGTCAGTTATACTGTACCGGTAGAAAATCTTGAAAGAATGTAATTCTTTACACGTCACATCATAAAATGCAGTTCTGTATTCAGAAGACAAACTTTTTCACATGATGATGATAATACAGTTGGACTCTCTTGCTACAACAAAACTCATTACAATAAAGAGACCAAAAAATAATTTGATGTAGAACATGGGGTTCTCTAGAACCCTAATAAGGGACCACAAAACATTCATTAGACAGAGAAAATTGTTTTAGACAAGATCATTGTAGAGAGAGTCCACCTGTATCACTAATTTTATTAATGATCTTCTGACACATCAAATTGTTGGATTTTGCATATTCAATTATTTTGACTTATATGTGGTTCTGTGGACTTGAGCTGCTCAAATATTTAACAATTGAAAGAATCACATTTGTGACATATGCTGTACTAAAATATACAGGTGGACTCTGCAAAAATCTTTGTATTTTGGTCCCAAAGGGTTCTCTTCACATGCTATAAGGGTTTTCTACAATTAATGAAATCCTCTGTACAAGTTTTTTTGGGGTTCCTGCATTTTTTGTAGAGAGGGAGAGAGTCTGCCTGTCTATTTTAAAAGCTGATCTCGAAATGTTCAGTCCATCAATTACGAGCAGTGAGATTGTTAGCAAGCATTTCCAATATTCCAGCCTGCAAGAAAAACTGGAAAAAATGCCAAGTTTATATTGGAGGAACACGTTCATGTTTTAGAGATATTGTATTTGATTTTGAACTTTTGTTAGAAATGAATTACAATTTGCATTCTTACCAATAAATTAATCAATCATCAGCATTAATAAATCATCAGTGACTAGCAATTCTTTTCCTCCATGGTTTACAAACAATTTGGGTTGGGTGGGAAGGGGATTTGGTTGTGGAAATCTTGATAGAACCTTGTGAACGCTGAAAAGCAGCAAATAAAGTGTTCTGTTCATTCATTCACAAACAACTGACTGCAGCAATTTTTCCATACCACAAAAGCAACAGTATTTATAAATATTATTGCAACAGTAAATTTATCTTCATTTTACTTAAAAAATAATTGAAAGCCAATTTAATTTAACTCTATTAAAATGTATTGAAATCTTTACTTCTGGTGACTTGAAAGTCTGCCAACAATCCAAGTGACTCAAGTTATATATTTGGTGCACCCTGGAATAATTTTCATGGAAAACTTTTAAACGCGTGTGGTTTTCAGCGTATTTTTCCTCCCAATGTTTGCACAGAAGAAAAAGTTCAAGTGCTGGTATATGCAAATGAATATGGTATCCTCAAGAGACTTTTCCCGTCCCAATGAGTTTTTCCGATTTTTGCATAAGAGCAATTTGGTTAAATCCTTGAGACCATGCTGGTTATCAGTCAAGCAGTCCTCAAGATGAAACATTTGGCCAACATGCCAAGAAATAGCTGGCACACTTTTCATTCACTTCTTCTAACAAATACTTCGGTTTTTCTAGAAAGAAAGACAATGAAGCACAATAGATGTTGCAAAAAAAATGAAATCAGCATGAATTATCGCCCAGATGCCTGTCGGCGACTCGACGCCCGGAGTGAAGTGAATCAATCTTCTGTCGCCCGCCTCTCTGCCTCTTTCTCTTCTAAATTGACTTGCTCAAACGAGTCTATCATACAAGGGGCTGAACAAAAGTTCCTGGAATAGAAATTGAAATGGCATGCAAATGAGATGAAATTGATTATTGTTCAGAAAAGAACATGCTTTGGCACCAGAAACAAATTCAGCCCTGTTTGACATATGTCGCAAAACATGTTTGCAAAAGTTATCCTGGCACCTTTCTATACTGCTCTTCATTCAAGAGATGAGGCACACGTCTTGCAGATTTTTTGGTGTTACCCAGCTTCTCATCTTTCAGAATTATTGAAATTAATACGGTAATTCGAAGGGTTTTCTCCATGTTTTCCAAGGTCATTCCGACATTTTCTACAACAGCAGCCATCACTTATTGGGATGGGAATGTGGCGGCTGTCGGGTGACTTTTGCAAAATTTCTCCCCAAAATACAGTTGTACCTTGAGATGCGGATATAATTGGTACTTGGACCTTTGTCCCTATATGTCAGATTGTCCGCATGTCCGATACCGTTTTCCCATAGACTTTAATACTGTACAATAAACTTATTCAATTGGTTCTCATGTAGAGAAAAAGTAGGAAAAGTCCCCCAACATTGAATAAAAATTGCTTCCCTCAACTTGAAGGTACAGATATCACTTATTGGGATGGGAATGTGGCGGCTGTCGGGTGACTTTTGCAAAATTTCTCCCCAAAATACAGTTGTACCTTGAGATGCGGATATAATTGGTACTTGGACCTTTGTCCCTATATGTCAGATTTTCCGCATGTCAGATTGTCCGCATGTCCATATGGCAAAAGGGTATCTGAAATTATGACATGTTATTTGAATAAGTTAACCAAGAGTACATCTCTTTTTCATCCTTTTCAGGGGGTTGTAACTTATTTTTAACGAAGGGAGTTGAACTTCCATGTCTAACAACTGTAAAGAAAAATCACACAAAAATCTAATCTTTTGGCTTCAAAAATAGCTCAAAAAGCAAAATGAAAGTATAAGTGTTGCTATAATGTGCACAGATAATAGAGAAAACTCATATGAAAAAATAAGCACAAAATCAGTCTGTTTTTTTATGAATTAGAGTAAATTTATAATTTAATGTACAGTATTTTCAGTTATTCTGAATCTAAATACCACAATTTTTCTAAAGAGATATCAAAATTATAAATTTTCAGGAAAATTCGTGAAAATTGTCCCTGTCTTGAGCCGTTGTCCTGATGTCTGGTCAGGTTTTTGCAAGTATCAAATATCCCTAAGCCAAATTGTCTGCATGTTGCAGCATCCCACCTGTCAGGGTCTTGCTGTTATGTAAAACAGGGCTGCATTTTGTTTGGACCAAATAACATTTTAAATCAATTTTCTGCCCAATTGTATATGTACAGGAGGTACCTTACAATTTGACCCTGATCCATTGCCAAACTAGGGTTGAATTGCAACGCAGTCAAATTGTGAGACACTTCCTGAAATTCAAAAATATCAGCACAAAATTGCAAAAAGAGTGGCCAAGGCAGGTTGAATTGTGGGGCAATGGTCAAATTGCAAGTCAACCTCCCTGAAAATTTGATCATTGAATTGTGGGAACATCAAACTGCAGGAGGTCAAATTGCTAGGTATACTAACTACCTGTATTGTATATACACAGTTTGGGTCAATTTGACGGTTACAAACAAGCCGTCTTAAAACCGCCAAATTACCCCAACCGCCAAATATCTCCCTTCCTACTTGGTCAATTTTTTCCCAGATGGGGACGACGTAAGATAGTAAGAATGCAAATAATTTGGAAATGTATTTAAGATATCCCCAAAATAGAAAAATGAGAAATGTTAAAATATTGAGGTGCAGATAGCACAAGAATACATTTTTGCTTGGAGAGGAGATTTTTGCATGAGGGATACTTGTTTCCTCTATATTTCCACTGAATAAGTGCCCAAAATTTCAAGAGGCTGACAATAAAACTGTACCCCAGAAATTTATCAACAAAAGAAATGGAAGAGGAAGCTGGGAGGGAGGGAAATGTGGGGATTTCAATAAATGAAATGTGAGAAAATGATGGTTGGGATGAGAAAAAAATATTGGTGAACAGCAGAAAGTCTGGGAAGTAGGAAGAAATGGGTGGTCGATAGGGGGAGAAAAAAAAAACAGGACAATCCAGTTTGGGAGGATAAAAATGGTGGTGGATGGTGGTTGGCGCTTTAAAGAGGTTTTGTTTAGGCAGATTTGTTAGGGATGAAATTTTGGCGGCAACCAAGGGTGGCGG